GTATATAAATATTAAAAATATATTAATAAACAAATATTACAATTGTTTTATATACAACTATTCTGTGATTTAATTTTTCTCTAATGTATAACCTTGCATAATTTTTCAGCTTTTCATTACACAAAAAGAATGATTTTGCTAAAAATATTAAAAAATTTAACTAGATGCAGATCTAAAAATAATTTTGTTTGGGTTATCGAATTAATTATATTATTGAGAATACTCAATGATTAGTAAAATGTTAAAATTTTTTTCAACAAGCTTGAATTGTAAACATATTGAGAAAAATGTTTGTTTTGAAAATGGGCGAACTTGATCAGAAAATTTTAATTAAATCAAATTTTTTATTATCTTAGATAGAATTATAAGATTTAATCAAAAATTCTGATTTATGCATTTTCATTCAGAATTTCAATTAATGCAACCAGACTCTTTCTGTAGTATAATATATAATAATTTTGATGATCCAACAAAATTATTTTCGGATTTGTATCTAATTAAATTTTTTAATATTTCTGTAAAATCGTTGTGTTTCCTAGGGTTTTTATTAAAAATATAAAAACAAAAATTAGTTCAAATCTACGTAAAATTGTACTTTGTTGTTCGAAAAATGAAGTTATATACAACGAAATTTACACAAAAATATAAATATTGTTTGAAATTCGATATGAGTACATATTGATAAAAAGAGATTTAGATTTATTATAATCTGCGATAATTCTTTCAATTTTCTTTGCTTTTTTTATTGAAGATGTAATATCGAAAATATTGAATTGAACAATTGAAAGAGAATGGAGGGAAAAAAAATCTAAAACTTCAATTAAAAATTTGTATTAATTATTTTTATTAAATATCTTTTTCTTAAGTGCGTCAAATTCCTTGAATAATTGAATTTCCTGTTTTTAATTTCTTATTTTTATCAAAAATTTATAATTAAGCCAGAGTAATTATGCAGCATAAATTATGTCGAAATGAAATCGATTGATTGACTAAAATACTATTTTATTTTTGACTATTTTCGATGAGACCTGCCTGTTGATGAGATTTGCCTGTTCGGCAAATAAATATTTTATTTAACTGGATATATTAAAACGTCTAGAAACCTAATTTACCTAAAAACT